CAGCTGCGGTATCTGCGGGAGACGTCTGCTGCTGCAAGGTAAGCTTCAATTGGAGCAGTGCCTGGCTCACGAGCTGCTCCTTCGGTGTGTCTGGAGACATGCCGAACTGGCTGTAGTATGGAAATGCGGACGCAAAGACGCCACCCATCAGAGGTCCATGGCCTTCGCCGTAGATAGTCTTGGATCGCGTCATCGAGGCTGTCGCGTTCGTGCGGCCGTGGTATGAGCCCTGCATGACGATGATGTTCGGCTTCTTCGTCGCGGCACGGGCAAGTTTGACGGCTGCTTCAACGGCCTCTGCACCCGAATTCCAGAAGAAGACGGTATCGAGCGATTCGTGGGGAAGTATCGGAATCAGCTCTTTGAGAAGAGCGATCTGTGCGGAGCTGAAGCCAATGTTGACTTGGGCGTGTGTGATCTTGTTGCATTGTGCCGCTGCGGCAGCGCTGACTTTGGGGTGGCAGTGACCAAGGTTCACAACACCAATGCCGGCCGTCATGTCAAGCAGCTTGACGCCCTTGTCCGTGGTGATGAATGTGCCCTTTCCATCTTCAAAGACATGCTTGGTGAGGCGGCCAATGCCCTTTGCAATGTGCTGTTCGCCAAATGCTGCTGTATCCATCTCGGAAGACGCTGGTCGTGTAGTAGAGAACGGTCGTCGAGGGGTTGGGGCGTGTCGCGGAAGAGTGGGTACGAGGTTGCGTGGAGCTGACAAGCAGCGTCTGGATACCGTGGCGGCCTTCATTATGTATCTTGGGGATTGTGCTGCTGCTTTCGACTGCCGTGTAGGTCAAAGTGGTGGGGTTCGGGTTGAGGCGGCCTGACGTAGCTAGCACGCTTATCGCCGAAACTAGACGCCCTACACGCGTTCTTATGACCTTCACGATCATTTGCGGCGGCCAACAACTCACTCACTTCGCTTCTACTAACTTCTTTAGGTAATACAAGAGACCGTCTGCCAAGACTTCTTACTCAACGACAAATTATCTACACGCCCCACACGCCTGAGATATTGTCTGGTAATCGGCCTGCAGCTGTTGTTTGAGCAGAACTTTCCTGTTGCTAGGATAATACTGATGCCTCTATCGAGCCTGCGGCAAATACACAACCACACATAGCAACTACGCCGAGGTGCACTATCTGGGCGGACTACATAGGTCTACGGTTCCCGTTCGAACGTAGAACGTACGATCAACACAACCTATGAGCTTGGAAGACACCGAGATCTTTCTGGTCTAGCCGGTGGTTCAGATATGAACCTTCTCCGCAGCCGTCACACGTCTATCCTGCACTTTTCCACGCCGGCTCTGATAAGTGTACAAAGTATATCATGAGTCTACCGCGCTCGCTATTACTACCTAAGACTCGCGCTCATTTCACTTTGTTCTCATCATAAGCAAACAGTCTCAGACGTTGCTTCCTTCCTTACGATCCCAAGCCATAGGCCCCGGGTCTCGAGGACCTCCAGCAATGACCGAAGTTACTGTGAACTTCGTCTCCTTTATGATATTCTTCTGAGAGTCTCCATCACTATTATCGGCCTCGTCGTTGTCGCCCAAGGTCTGGAACGTGTCCATGGCTATCACGCGGGAGCGCGAGGTGGGCTGCCGATTGTTTATTCCAGATTGGTATGCTTGTCCGCCAGATGCATCAGGAGTATTGGAGCCGGCGGATACCCTAATGCGCAGGGATAGGAGAGGGCGAAGAGGAGGTAGCGAACCGGCGATGAGGCCAATGCCGACTTCGGTCAAGGACCAGAAGCCGATTTTGCCCGTACTGTACATGAACTCGCCAGGGTCACTGTAGAGTGTGAGGTACTTGAGGCGGACGATGGTAGCACATGAGGCACTGAGTCAGGATTAGTTCTTGATACCATAGCATGAGGGATCGTCAAGGCCTTACAAAGAAGCGAGCGCAAGCATGACAGCAACTGAAGCTTTCACAGCTCCCTTCATCTGGACATTCCAAAGCAGAATAGCCGGCATGATCGAGAGACTAAAGTCTGCAGTGATCTCGATGGCTGAGTAGAATAGACTGACATTCGTATTGAGCTGAAGGTTGCAGGTGCCATTAGATTCACCCCATAGCGTGTTGATCGGATGGCCGGCAAAACGTTAGCGACAATATTTCCTACTTGTAGAACAAGTCAACTCACAGATGTTTGCAATTCCTATGCAGAAGACTAGAGCAGCAACCATGGTAGCACCTATCAGCGCCCATAAAGCCCATGTGAAGAAGCGACGACCAACAGCGATGCGCAGAAGCGCTACTGCAACACTGATTTTGACGAACATGGCGCTGACTGCGTAGAAGTACTCTGCGATGTAAAAGAGCTGAACACAGTGAGTATGGACTCTATAGCATTTCGTCGATAGGGAGTATGTACCTTTGTTCCTTTGGATATTGTCACCGTGGGCAGCTCTCGTGCGAACTGTCCAGAGCCATAGTGGCAACAGACGATGCAAAGAGCAGCTGTCACTGAGAAGAGAATCTGCAATGAACTATCAGTTGGCTTATCACATGCTGGTGGTGCTGGGCACTTACAGTTCCGACGAGCATGAAGTAGTCATCCATGCCCCACGCTTTCCTCCACATCCGTACCCCGACTCTCATGGAGAAGACGATCCAACTCAACACGAGCAATATGATTGCGCAGTACAACAACGCCACTCCATCTCTGGCCACTTCGACAGTCGTCATGTTCCTTGCGCAATGTTGACAAACGTATCAGAGACCGAGAAATGAAGCAAGCAGATGACGAACATGAGACCGGTGGCAGCTCGCCAGATGACATATATTGGACGTTTCATCTCTACCACTGTACCACAGGAGAACCCCAATTTTCTGTCGACTCATGTCGTGGATCGTGAGCCGTGCAAACAGGGCCCTCGTGTTACGTCCTAAGGTCGCGGGCGCTAGACGTAAAGGGCTTCGTCTAGATCGGATCTAATGTGTCAACTGTCCGCGGAGGATGCCCTCGGGAATAGCTTAGTGTATAGGACTGCCGCGTGGTCCGAATTGTTTACGTTTTCTCCGACACGTTGCTTTGTGGAAGCGAGCATCAATGGAGCATGGTCCCACTATGGGCTGCGGCGTCGTGAAGAGGAGCTACCCGCATCAAAGAAGCCTTATGCGTACCAGACTTGCTATCCATCTAAATCGTCGAAGTACCCGCGAGGCGTTGGTGACCCCTAGTGACCGGTACATGGGTGGCAGGTGTCGTGATTTTCTTCCCCTGTCGGGCCGTTGCTAGCTTAAGTGGGTCTTACAGCTGGTCCGCCCATGGGCTCGGTTCCAACACTGGCCGGCGCCACGCTCAGACTGCCTGATTAGAAAATGTTCGTCCCAAGACGGCAGTAAAGTTGGGTGGTCACCTGGTTCAGGCGATTACCATCACGCTTCGGATCTTGACTGATAGATGCGTAGTCGCGCGAGTGTGTTTCGATGTTGATTGAGCAGCTTCAAGGTCGCGGTTGGCTTGCTACGAGCGGAATCCTTCCCTGCGATGAAAAAAACGGGCCCCGTACGAAGTCCATCCCGAGCTCGCTGTGTTCCTTGTAAATCTCCGGCAGCTTCTCAGATTTCGTTTGAGATGATGTTTCTGGGCCCAGAACACGGGTAGCCTCACAATGCCAGCCCATGACTGTTCCAAATCAGTGCGCTCTTGCATGAGCTCGAGCTGATGCGCAAGGGCCCCGATTATGTCTGCATATTATCCTCTTCCTTTCTGTATTTTGCTGAAACTTCCATCTGTTTACTCTCACCATACCTAGCTCCGCCATGGCATCGTTCCAAATCCAAGACTCTGACCTGACGGGATTTCAGGGCAAAGTTGCCGTCATAACAGGTACCTTGATTCGGCCCAATCAACTTTCAGGTTCCAGAACACTGACAATGCCGTAGGTGGGTCGTCTGGTATTGGCCTCGCCACAGCAGAGCTACTGCTCTCTCTAGGCGCACTAGTTGTGACTGGTGATATTCAGGCACCACCGGCGTCTGTGGCTGACTGTCACTTTGTCCAAATCGACGTCAGGCGCTGGAGCGATCTAACGAAACTATTCAAGGCCGCGAAAGAAAAGCACGGTCGTGTTGACTTTGTATTTGCGAATGCTGGAATTGGGCCACGCGCAAATTACTTGGCTCTCGAAGTCGATGAGAACGGTGACCCCAAGGAACCAAATGATGACACCTTGGACATCAATCTGGACAGTGTTGTCAGGACCGTGACACTCGCTACCCATTATCTGAAGGGCCAGGCCGAGGGGGGGTCCATTGTCATCATGGGGTCCAGCACCGGCTTGCATCCCGTCCGAGCAGTTGATTATTGTGAGTAACAGTTCGTCGATCACGTTTGAATTTCCGACTAACAGCACGACTCAGCGACGGCCAAAGCGGGTGTTCTAGGCTTTGGTAGGAGTTTCGCGCTGTTGGTGAAGGCTGCCGGTCTGCCTATTCGCGTCAACACTCTCGCCCCTTCATGGACGGCAACTCAGGTCTTGCCCGATTTGAAAGGCTTGCTAGATGCGGTTTCGTACAACTGCCAGCCTACTTCAGTCGTTGCCCGAGCAGCGGCCTACTTGATGGTAGACAAGTCTCGTCACGGAGACCTCATCTTTGCCTGCGACGGAAAATACACAGAGATCGAGAAGGCTGTGCTTGCGCCGGCATATGCAACTATCAAGGGAGACGGATTAAGCGACGATGATGTCCTGGCGAAGGTCTTGGCGCTGGGTAGCTAGACATCCGACTGAATCAACGAGCAAATTCTGAAGTATTGAAAACGGATTTAACATGGATGATGTGAGTTGAACGATCGGAGAACCATAATCTGGAAGGGGGACGAACCCCTGCCAAGATTGTGACTGGTATACCCCTTCGGGTTAGATTGTCACTAATGATGTCATGCTGGCCAAAACCGAAATCACTTGTTCCCGAGGTCTGCTGTATTTCTGCTGAGGCATCAACCACTATTTGACGTGACCGTAACGCGCTATCTGAGTCTAAACACACTGACTGTAGTAATCGCCGTTGGCTTTGCACGTCGACCCACTCGCACAGCCTGTACATCCACTATAGGTTTTCCCGCCACACTGCCCATACTTCGCAACTTCGCATATGGGCGCAGCCGGTACTGTGGGCGTAGCAGATGCGCTGGTCATCATGGTAGTGGGGGAGGCTGTGGCTGTGGGTGCAGCGGTGGGTGCAGCAGACGGCGCGGGCGCAGAACCGCTTCCATCCCAAACAGCAGGGCCAGGGACAGGATAAGTGGTTGCTTGCTTGGCTTCAGGGGAGTCAATGTTGAAAGCAATGCCAGGCTCTGTTCCAGTGTAGGCGCCCGGGAAAGAAACGAGCGCTGATGCGGGAGGAGAGGCTGTACCCGATCCTGTCACGGTGAATTGGGCGCACTCGGGATAGACTGGAGAGTATCAGCTTGAGCATCGGTATGGCAATGTGGAAAATTGGCTCACATTGCGGGTTGTTCGCCTGATGTACAGCGATGAGCTCATGGCGGATCAAGTAGTCACCTGCTGCAAGTGTAGCCGGGATAGTGACTGTGGCATAGAGAGTGTCGAGGATGGCATCACCTGCCCATATGCCGTCGTTTTCAGTCCCGGATATGAGGCCTTGCTCATATATCTTAACTACATCGCGGTCCTGTTAGAGATGTAGTCCACTTAAGGGATGTGTACTTACACCACACTTTACCAGCTCCATCGAAGCCGTCACAAGATCCCGGACATTTGGCCATGTATACAAGAAGAGAGGTCGGCCTGTGAGTCCATTGCTTCCAGTGTGTCTTCAACTTGGCACCAGCGGCAATGGTGCCAGTCATGCCTGTACCGAGAGCGCCGTTGTTGTTGCAGCGGATGTTGACTGTCTAGAATAAGTGAGCTTTTGGTTGATGTACGCTTTTGTAGGGTCGTACTGAGAGATCTTTGATGTACATGGGGTCGTAAGTCGAGTACTGTCGCTGAATGGACTTTTGACCTGAAGCTGAGTTGTACGGTGACCATCTTGGAATTGTCAGTACATGGGAAGAGTGCGTGTGAGAAGGTGATGTACCCTTGGTAGGTTGTGTCTCCTACAATATACTGATCGACTCCTCCATGAGCGGTCGCAGTTGCAACCAAGGAAGCAACCGCCGTCAATGCCGTGTAGAACTTCATTATGATGTTGTAGAGCAAACTAGAGGGACCGATATTAGATAGCAAGTCGATGCGCAAAGATGGGCGGTGGTACAAGCAGAGAGTGCACCTTCTCATATACTTTCCGTTTGCCCCCGTAAGCCACACCAGCGCGTATCGCGTGAGAAAACCGGGTATTGTGTTGCCTCTAAGATGCAAATCTCCACGCGTACCGTAGATTGATGTTTGATACTAGTCCATATGCTTGGTCCGTCACAGCCGCATGGCATCTCGACCTCTGGAGGAGTTTGTGCGACCGGGCCAGATCTGGGCAATACTGCATAACCCGATCAATGGGCCAATGGTGCGAAGAAGCACGCTCGACTTTTGTGGTAGTCTCAACGGAGCAGACAGCCGTTGGGGAATGCATAGATGAAGTGCGCAGGGATGTAAATAGCCGGAGGTCACATTTCGCGGGGAAAACGGTAGCGTGTACCCATGACTTGAATGCTTTGTATATGAGGTGTGGGTCATCTATAATTTAGGATGATCTTGATCACACATGGCCGCTGCTTGTTCGACCATAAGATATGAAGCTCAGAGCTTGAGTATCTCATCGGGTTCGTTAGCGACAGCATCACAAGGGTTGTGAAAATGGGCTGCACGCGCAAAGTGTAGCAAAGACCTGAGTGTGAAAGTATTAGTATACGGTACTGATTTGAAGAGCCGCTGGCTGGAGAGAAGACCATACCTCGCTTATGCATGGGTGGTCAGAACACAATACGTCACGGTGGGGTCTGCTATGTGTGGTCATTCAAATGAATCGTGAGATGTACGGAGCGCCCGGTCAATATAGACCCATCGAATACGCTGAGCCGAACGAAAACCTGGTCGAGGGCCTTAGCCATATGTATAGCGTGTCAGCTCCAGGCTGGACCTGCTCGTTTGGCGCAACAGGAACTGTGAACAGTGGGCATGATTTCGTAACAGCATATGTCGTCTTCTTCGCTGGTAGAAGCAGACGAAAGGCCAGATTGGAGTAATGGAAGGATTGTGGAGCTAATCTGGTCGCCTGACAAGACGATAGAGTGTTCAATAGCGTGATGCATGGATGCCCACCGTCAGATAAGCATTCACATCTCGCGGGACGCTATACTGAACATAAAGTCAGGATGAATAGATGAAATCTGATCCGAGCGCCAGGTCCGGAAAGAATTGCTCAAGCACATGGCAAGCGCCTAGATGTATCGCAGCTGTTGCCCCGGGTGTGCTGAAGCTGGACTGTCAATCGCTGTCCATGTATTAACAGAGTCGTGAACCAATGTGCGAGAAGGAATTGATAATAGAGAGAACACTTTTATGCAATACCTAGTTCCTTCACCCGTAATAGTGTGTTCCGAGCCACTCATATGTGCTCAATAGCCAAAATTGCAAGACAAAAACCAGAACGACAAAGGGCACGAGAGCTCAAGCCGAGAGGTACGCAGACCCTGCCCTTCCCACTTCCTCAGTAGCCAGTAGATGCATCGCACCATATATACCTTTTGGTGAGATGTCGAAAAGATGTGTGACATCATCGGCCAGATTCGAAGCTGCTGTAGATCGCAAGTTTCCAACCAGATGCTCATTTCCCATAGACAGTCACCTCGTCTTTTGTATCAGGCATGCGCCAGATCGAACTACTGTAAGTAGCAATTAGCGTTGCGCTCTTGGAGCGTGACAAGGAGCTCGTAGAAGTCCTTCCTCCAGTCAACGCACTCAAGGTACTCCCACCACAGGCGAAGTGCAGGCGCCTCATCCATATCAGACTGTAATCGATTAGCTTTGAACTACTCATACAATTCAACATGACTTACCGCGTCAAACGCCTCAAGGATAGACTGCTTCTTGATCATAGCGGTCTTCATGTTGGCCTCACGCTCCCACTCACGGAGCTCTTCAACGTACTTGCGCACGTCTTTGGTCAGTTGCTTTGTGAGCACAACCTCCTCCTCAGAGTCAACAGTGGTTTCGTGATCCGGTGCAGCGAAGAGACGGCCGCTGTACTCCGGCTTGCGAAAGAAATGCTTCTTGAGTTCTTCGGTAACCCACTTCTCGCGCGTCGATGAGGTGAGCTCTTCAGCCCAGTATTCCTTGACGTATTGAGGTACTCTAGCCGTCATGGTGTCATAGTCCAGCTTATCCGACCAGCGTGTCTGCGAATAATTGCCGTAGTACATATAGCGCTTTCCGACGAGAACGAACATGGGCACATCCTCGTACGAGTTGGAGTCTTCGTCAAGTAGATCGCCGTATTCTTCTTCTGGGGCCTTGTTGAAGAAGGCAGTGAGCTTTGCACCGTGGTCGCCAGGCGCCTTGGGCAGGTAAGGTTCATTCTTCGGATCGAGCTGGTAGTATGTACGATTCTTCAGCATGCATGGACCCTTGCCTGAGACGAAACGCAGGCCAGGTGACCAGGAAGCTCCACCCAAAGTGTTGGCGAGGAAGTCAGGATGGAACGTGACGGTGGCGTTGCCTGTGGAAAGTTGACCGGAGAACGCGGGCAGGGTTGTAAGATGGTAAGGCTTCCACGCTGCATCCAGAGAAACGCCTTCGATGGACAGGGCGGGATCTTGGACGGCAATTAGTGGTGAAGCAGGTGGGCTTAAAGCAGGTGTGGGGATCTGCTTGGAGACGACATCGACTTGATGGGTGTTGGTGGTGCGGGTACTTTGTCCTTGTCAGCTCCAAGTAACTCCAAAACTCGTCCATGCATATAAGGATACACTCACACTTGGCCATTGGTAGACTCGAGCTTTTTACCTCGCAAATGCGGAGGCAGAGATGTCTTGACTGTACCGCTGCTGGTGTCGCTGGAAGTCCTGAGATGGGGAGGCGTACTGCTGTTCACCTTTTGTACGTCAGCGCCACCGTTTACAGATCCCTGAACCTCTTCCTTAAGTTTCTCCAGCTCGATCCCGAACTCTACGGCGCTTTGGTGTGATTTCTGTACATCCACCTCTTGGAATGGGCCAACATGTACTGGCCAACCGCCCTTCTTGAGCTTGTCGACGGACAATGAGAGGCCATGGTACATCTCTTGGAGAGTGTCGATGTCTGCGCGTATCTTTGCATGCCTCTCTTCCAGGTTGAGAGTCCTTGCCTCCAAGTATGGAGAGGAAGGGGTGCTCACCTGGCTGGGCGCGCCGTGCCGAGAACCGGTTGGAGCGAAGTTGTTGGCCGCGGGGTTCATCGTGTAGCTGATGTTGTGGAATCGCTGCGAGTGTTGGCCGTGAAGGACTGGATCGCGATTAGACATTGTACTACGAGAGTACTAGACTTCTCCAACCAGGATGACTTGTAGCTCTTGGGTACTCGGAGTTGTTGAGACTGCAGGAAATTGTCAGCTTGAGGTGGATCTAAGAGTAAGAGGCTCAAAGTCTTACCGTAAACCGATGTGCTATCGTTGTGAGATGGTGTGATCAAGTGAGACGTGCTGGAAGTTATATGCTGGGGACATATAATTTAGAAAGGAATGGAGGAGGGACGCTTGGAAACCTCAGAAGACTTCTTTATATAGGCCACAGATGAGAGTCGTGGATCTGGGAAACAGAGGCGGTGGCATAGCGGCAGCTCTATGCTATCTCAGGTAAAAGAGATGAGGTTGCAGTGATGCCGGGGTGGTGGTGTCTGCAGACGAGAATGAGGTGAAGTTCATCCCATCGAAGATACCGGTAGGACATTAAAGCTTTGTGCCATTGCGTTGATCACGCAGAATCTTGGGAAGTGTTTGGCACTATACACATTCCCTACGGTGCTGGTGGGATGTCGCTGGGCACCAGACATGTCACGTCTTACCGAGAATGTGGTTGCTGCTTTGCACTCAAGTGAAAGTTTATCGCAGGTTCTATCCAGGCCCAGAGTCGATGTGGGCGTTACTGGGCTCTCTAGGAGTTTGATGCTTGTCAAGCACGTATCATCTACCTACCCTTACAGTCAGACTATAGCACTAGCTTCGCGCCTCGACTGTGCTCAGAATTAACACGGATTTATCTCAAGTCTAATACCTACGCATTGGTCCCCGTTGGGTATCGAATTGAGCTAATCGTGAGAGGCGGGTACCTCGCTTCCGAGCTCTTCCCGACTCCGTCAACATCTTCTCTTTCCCCATGCTCTGGCATCCACTCGCAACGACGTCGGCAAAATTTCCTGGTTCTGTGGCCCTTCGCTTATCGTGGTTCCAGTCTGGCTCTTGGTACCCCGCGCTCACGAGGTCGACGACTACGCTGCAGAGATGCGCGTCCAAAGGCCAATGACTACAAGTCTTACTTTCCGCTGAAGTGCTGCTAGATGTTGAAGTCGATGGGGCGCGTCAGAAACGCGCAGCTGCGAGGTCAACTGTGGGATCACCGCCCGAAGTCCGCTCTCTTCATATCAGGCGCAGACTCAGGCATCAATAGGCCTATTTGCAGCATCGAGTTGTATCTGCGAGTCGTGGGTCGGCGCACATGGACAAGTAGCTGGTTCCGACTCGGGGTGCACTACGCGCGTGACCGGGATGGTGAGGGGAAGCCGCGGAGCGACACGCGACATACGCGACACAGCGTGAAGCAGGCGACGGCACCAGGCATGCTCGTCAATTCCGTTGGGGGGATAGAGCGACAGTCTTGTTCAAAGACGAAGTATCATGGGACGAACATCTCGTCGAGATTGGGAGGAGCTCGCGGTAGATGGCCTAATGCAGGGGAAGGGAAAGGAGGACCCTGACCGAGAAGCGCGCCAACGTCATTGCGCGCTTGGGCCTTGGCCGTCATTTTGCTCTCCATCTCACTGGCGACCAGCACTCGACCACTGCATGCTGACTTTGGCCAAACACGGACAGGCCCATCTACCTTCAGAGCAAGCGCCAGCATCGTTCCTTCTCTGTCAAAACCCGCCATTGGTCCTCCAGCATGCCGCCCAAACGCACCCAAGCCCACGACGAGGCGCACACGTCGCTCAAGGACAAACTACAGAACCTCCAGGGCTCGAACGCGCGGGGCGGTCGTCGCAACGGTGGTGCCGGCGCCCTAAACGGCAGCAGCCTGAAGGAAGTGGACAATGCCTCTACCAACAGTGGCCAGACGTCGACCGATCTCAGTTCGTCAGGAAACGTTCGTCGCGCCCTCACTCTTTCCCCCTCACACGCCTGCGCCTTCCATTGCTAACACGCCCTCGTCGCAACAGATCAAATGGTCATCGCAAGACCCCTCCGTTCTCCAGGGCTACCGTAGAGCCTACCGACTCGATTGCCCGTCAAGCTTCAAGAACCCGCTCAGCCACGTCGTACTGAGCCAGGGCATTGGGCGCATGTCTCCCACCATGGCGCGACCAAAGGGCAAACGACGTGTTCAGAAGGACCAGCTGGGTATGGCGGTCAAGAAAAGCTTCAACTCCCAGGCTGTGACAGAGAGCGACGTGATTGTCGACTGGCTCTACAAGTCGAAACACCAGGGTACGCATTGCGAGCATACTCCGATACCGTGACTAGGCTAATTCATAACACAGACAACGAGTTCCGCGTGCGCTTCGCACCCCAAAGGAAGTGACTGGGTCACTCGCGCCTATACATCGCTGCATTTTCGACTTTCTTCGACGATACCCCTCTTTGGCACGATAGCCACCACTTTTTTTTTACACACGACATGCAAGCATTGAACAGGAGTTTGGGATACTGGGCATTAATGAACAGGGAAGGGTTACGCATCACGGCTTGGTTTGACCGCGTGGGTCGGTCTGATGTCCACAAACGACCCCGAGCATGGAACATACAGAGATAAAGGATGATCGGCAATGAGCATTTGATAATACCAGGAATCGGACTGGGTGTAGCGGATGCGCCTCGGTGCGTCGAGTCCATGGCATGTCTGCCTGCCATGTGCGTTCCGCATGGCGAACCAAGGGCAAATGGCAGAGCTAGTGTCAGGATATGCAAGCATCAGCCAGAATAAATACATCCGTTCGTTTATCTATGCGGGCGCTTTGCTAGACCGTAGTCGCGTCATAGTAAACTCTCGAAGCTTCGACGCGCTCTTTGCCGAGGGCAGCCAATGAACTTGCGTCACCGGCCCGTGCCCGCAAAAAGTTGTCGATTGTCGGATTATACACCACAGGTCGAAGCCCATAGCGAAAAGCAGTATCAAGACAGTCATTACTCACCTCCGCACCGTTTCAGGATGAGCTTCGCTGGTCCCATGCCGCTCAAGGCGGTGGCTCCCGTGCGCATCGCCGGCTCGAGGTCCTTCGCCAAATGTCAACGACGATGTATAGCGACGCAGGCCTCGCAAACACAATCGCGGAGACCGTCAATCGCACAGAGGCAACAACCGCACAATGCGCAGTCAATACGAGTACGTAGCATCTGGTTTCCCGCTGTTCCGAGTTGAGTTACTAACACAGCGTGCACAGTTCTTCCACGCCTCTCCCCCGTCCTTCGCCATGGCCGACCCGTATCAAACCCTCGGAGTCGGTAAGAACGCATCCCCCGCGGACATAAAGAAGGCCTACTATGGTATGGCCAAGAAGTACCACCCCGATACGAACAAAGACGCCGGTGCGAAAGAGAAGTTTGCCGCCGCACAATCCGCATACGAAATCCTCTCAGACGCCGAAAAGAAGAAGGCCTTTGACTCCTATGGCGCCGGTGCTTTCGATGCGAATGGCGGCTTCAACCCTGGGGCTAGCGCTGGAGGCCCGGGAGGAAACCCGTTCGGAGGAGGAGGCTTCGGTGGGTTTGGCGGCTTCGGTGGCGCCCAGGGTGCGGGCGGATTCCAGGACATCAATTTCGAAGATCTGTTCGGAGCTTTCACAGGTGGACGACGAGGAAGAGGCGGAGGCGGGAGAAGGAATCCGTTTGAAGAAGAGATCATGGTTGGCGACAACATCGAAGTACAGACAAACATCTCGTTCTTGGACGCGGCCAAGGGTGTCAAGAAGGACATACACATTACCCCCATGGCAGAGTGCGGGACATGTAGTGGCAGTGGCTTGAAGCAGGGTGCCAAGAGAGCAGAGTGTAAGAGCTGTGGGGGTACTGGACAGAGGGTAACGAGCATGGGCGGCTTCCATATGAGCGCAACTTGCTCATCCTGCGGTGGATCTGGATTTGCGATACCCCGGGGCTCGTCTTGTGGCACTTGTGGCGGCGATGGAGCAGTCAAGGAGCGCAAGACCATCACCATTGACATCCCTGGTGGTGTAGAAGACGGTATGCGGTTGCGCGTTAACGGCGAGGGAGACGCACCACTCACGGGCCATGCCATGTCTTCTGGCACCATCCGCGGCCAGAGAGGAGATCTTTACGTCCTCATTCGCGTAGCAGCTGACTCGAAGTTCAAGCGCAATGGTTCGGACATTCTTCATACAGCCACCATCCCCTTCACGACTGCTGTACTGGGAGGAGAGATCAGGGTACCTACCCTCGAAGGTGAAGTCAAGGTCAAGGTCCCCACTGGATCTGGAACAGGTGACCGCGTCACATTGTCTGGCATGGGCATGAAAGTACTCTCCGGCCGACGAGGCGCCAAGGGCGATTTGCGCGTTGAGTTCAAGGTCAACATGCCGAAGTATCTCAGCGTCAACCAGCGGACCATTCTCGAGATGCTGGCAGACGAGATGGGAGACAACAACGCGCAACGCGTCATCAACCCTGGAAAGATGAAGGACCAACATGGCAACAGTGTTGGGAACGATCACTCGAATGAGGGCTTTTTGAAGAGCGCATGGCATAACCTGACTGGGCAACATAAGCACCTGGACCCAGAGGAAAGGCGTAAGGCGGAAGAAGACGAGAAGAAGCGAGGATCTGGCTGAGCCTACGTTCATGATATGAGGACACGTTGTATAATAAGGCGGGCGTACGGGACGACCCATGCGACTCATGTTATCATGTTTGCAGCAAGACGATTGAGAGCATTCAAGGCGCATATGGAGACTGGTTGAGCATGATGTATAGAAGTATTAGTATTTGGCCTCTCGACTCAGGCTTGTAGAATATCACGCTGTTTATGACGCACGGAAAGAAGCCCAAGATGTTTACGAATTGAGGCACTCGCTAGCTTCTCCTACCCAATATCGCGGGCGCGTAACCAAGGCGAGACTCTCGGTCTCCTTGCATGGTCATTGGCCGGCGCGAGCCGCACAGCTGGGGTCGGCTTGAACGTCTCGCTGAATTTCCGCGACGGTGTGACAAGCTTGAAGAGTCACATATCGATAGCGGCCTGGCTCGCGTGGCGTGCTGGAGGTGTGATAGGCGAGCGTGGATGAGGAAGTCGCGGCTCT